GATCCACAACCTTGATATACCATATTTTTACGCTATTTGAGAACGAGGGACCGCCAATTTGTCTGTCAGTAACGGTGATATACTAAAACGGTTTTTTTAAATCGGATAAAAATTGTGACTTCTATAGGGTCCACAAGCTAAAAACGCGTTTTTGCGTACAATCAGGGGCCATAATTCAGGAAGTCCATATTATGGTTAATAATTTGGAATGAATACTGTAAGTAGATAATTATTAGGAATGTTTTGTTGTTATGGAATGCTAAACTAAAATACGAGACACTAGATTTACCGATTACGCTAACTATCACTAAGTAAATTTACAAAATGATGTGAATAAACGTAAATCTGTAAAATTACCTTCTGGCTTTGCTATTTTCAGTTCAATATTGAAATATTATGTAAGTTTATGGCAAAAACAGAATGAAACTTGGTAAATATACATCATTTTGGTAAATATTCCGAACATTTTATGATAAAAAAATAATAATTAAACTGCTGTAATTTTACTTATATTTCTAATTATAACCTGAAAGTAAATTTACAAAATAATGTGAATAAACGTAAGATCTGTAAAATTACATGCTTGGTATTATCTATTTTCAATTCAATTTGGAAATATTACATAATATGTAAGAAAGTATTTTTACTGATTTTTAAGGTGTCGTTGATTTCATCACGGTTTATTGTAAAAAAAGACACGAAATTCGGCAAACATACACGAAACTCCGTAAAAATACACCAGACTTGGTAAAAGTACAATATTGTGAAAAATATACCTATAAGTAACCAACAAAAATTACTTTTACTATTGTAATTTACAGAAAGTTTTCCGGACCTTTCAGCCCAGCATATAAAACAACATTCGATAATGTAAAGAAATTGTTCTGCGTCTTACAATGGAAGCTGGCATGACACCGTCCAAGCAAAATGTATGGCATATGCCTGCCTTTATTAGCCAGTTCGATGCATTCAGATTTTGAATGCTCTATTTCTCTAAAATGGATCGACTAAACTGACTAATATTTGACAGTAAATTTACAATCTTCTGTGAAAATAACATTTCAAATGGCATTTCTGTTAATATACAACTCACATAAAGTAAACTGGCATATGGTTGTAATACTACATTAAAGCATAGAACTAGAATACTAACGGGAACGCCCACTCGGTGACGTATAACGGTGATGACATAATTATGTTGTACATCGCATGCGCGAAGTCAATAAGGCACAAGTAACTTCCGGCCGTATGTCAACATAGCAGAAGCGTACGACGTCCTGGAATTTCAAGAACTTGACGGTGTAATAGATGTAAGTTATTCATAATTTTAATGAGTTTTTTTTAAATTAGTTATATAACATACCATCGGGAGTATAAACCATTTATTTTCGGACATTAAATTATCCGAACACACGTTTGTGTATCATTTTCTACTACATATTATAAAATTATTATTAGGCCTAATAAATTATGATGACATTCACATTTTATTTAGGACTTGTTATTATTTTTATTTATTGTTTTGTGCATATTGTTGTTAACCTTTGGCATGTCCGTGCCAGTTTTGGCTGGTTTCCCAGTGCCCTTTTCTTGTTTATAACAAGGGGTTTTACATAGGCTAAGCCTGTTCCCCAATCCCATTCAGACATCCTGAAAAAAAATATTGTTTATAAAAAAAAAATGTGTATTCTTTACTACAGCTTTTCTTTGCTAAAGATTTGTTTGAGACATCTCAACCTGTCGTTCCAGTAGCATCCGTAAGTTTTCTACATATACAACATACATACATATAGTCACATAGTGTTCGTAGCAAATGGGCAAGTTTTGAAACTCATTATAGTCTCGACCATGTCTATATATTTTTTTTCTTCTCAAACGATCAAATTGCTTTGGAAATGAAATGAAATGGGATTTACGTCCTACTGTTCTGCTCCTATGCTGGGCTAATGAAGACGGGCATACGCCATAAGGTGTGATTTAAGGGAAATTTTGCCCGGGCAGCGGCACTATCACCTATCCTTATATCGAATTCCAACTGCCAAGGGATCTTTTACGTGCATTCCAATGTATACAGGTGACCTCGGGTTTTCGTATCATCCGAAGGATTAGACAGCTGTCCTTGTCAGGCCCTCCGTACTGCATCACTGACAAGGGGGAACCACGCCGGAAAATCTGGATGAACTTTCTCGGCAAATGCAGGGATCGAACACCCGACCTCCAGGCTAACAAGCCAGCGTCTTACCCACTTAGCCACTTGATCCCAAATTGCTTTGGAACAGTTTCTGTTATTTTGTATAATATTTACTTTAAAGGGACAATAACACTCTTGCTGGCTTGAAAGCTCCAGAAAATAAATAATATCTCTATCTAAGTACTAGATGTTTAAGTGTCCCACCTGTTGTGTAAATTATCCATTACATCCTATTTTACTTGTCCAGAGGGTTCGAAAATATTTTTAAATCGAAGTTTCATTTGAAAAGGTTTACGTTAGACGTTTCAAACCATTATGTTGAATTTTTTAAATAAGGTGTGTTAAGATGAAATTTGTATCATCAATTAATTGAAATATTCTAAAATAGTTAAATTTGTTGACCAGAATAAAGATTGGGACATATTATTCAGTTACAACAAGAGTGGTATTGAGCCTTTAAAGAACTGTATTAATTTGGTATCAAGCTCGTAATTAGATAAAATTGTGAGGGAAATTATAACCTCCAACCCTGTCTTTGGTTGTGTACAGATTTACACTGGTAATTTTAATTCATAGCTATTGATTTTGTTTGGTTTTTATTTATGTTGTTTTCATTGTTATTTATTTTCTTTTTAAGATTCAAACTAATCCAGTTAAATTTAATGGGAAAGTTCAAGTAGTGGTTATATGAAAAATGATCTGATGTTCACATGATCTCAAGGGTTTGCCGAACCTCAACCGAGTTTAACCCCAACAAGGAATATTATACATCAAAACTTGTCATCTGCCTGTGCATTTTCTAGTATAAGTTTATCATCATTTGGAACAAATGGTTAAATTACTATTCAAGATGACTAATTTAAAAAACAAGAACAACAATATGTGGTTGGAATGATCCAAGGCTCTGTTCAAAGATATTTTATTCACATGACAGTGATGCTTGTTAAATAAAACGTGTGAATTTAACAGATAATGACCATTGATAAACACTAAAGGCAAATAGAAATGCACAAAAAAATCCATAAGCTTATGATAATAATGATTAAACATACATTATGCAAGAGCTAAATCTGCCTATTGCAGGTTTTCTTTAGGCCTGAAATGTTTTCTAAATTATTAATTAGACATTAATTAACTTATCCAGGCCCTAATCAACTCTCGATGGCATCAGATTTCTCCAATATTAAATAGATTAGAACAGTTCAGCCATATTTTGATTTAAGCTAAAAATGGAAGAGTGAGACTACTTCGAACAACCAGTACGATGGTTGAAATTATTGCACACGTCTTGTCAAACCTTCAAAGGCCTTCAAAGGCTAATATCTTCGCTCGCAATAGAGTAATTTGAATGAAATTTTCAAATTATTCATTTTACATTATTTATCTTCGAACTATTATAGCAAGAATGGCTAGCTCTTTATCAAAATCTCACATAATGTATATTTAAGAATAATTTAATAAATTTATAAAGCTCACACATTACAAGTTGTGCACCTGTATAAAATTTGTATAAATTTTGTTATCATTGTTAATATTTTATACTGAGATGCAATAAAAATAATACATCACTTTTATAAATGGATGAATGTAAATCTTGTTTGAAATGAATCCAGGTTTAACGCCCTACTTAGTACTTTTCAGCTCAATTTTGTTTTAAAGATTTGCTTTAATCTTGCAATTAAGGATGTAACAACATCATATTACGATGATAACATGTGAGAATGTTTTGAAGATTGCATAAACGCACCCCGAACAATTCTCAATCAAAAAAATTAAACCCAACAGAATCAGTATGTTGATTTTTCTGGTGCACACGTGGGGTATATAATGCAGCTTTTAAAAAGCTAGGTTTTGTGCAACTGTGGAAGGTGCAAAGTTATGCCACGTCATCTCAGAGGTGCTATTTCATTGCGTCTCGATATATTTTGTTTACAATTATCAACCTGGCCCCAAGTTCACAAAGCATTCCCAGACTTAATAATTTGCTCAACTTTCAATCACTGTTTTTGAGAAATATCTTTGATCCAGAAATACAAAACTTTGCACATAGTTTCTTATTGATATATTTACATTAAAACAACAATAGTTAGTAAAGTGCTATATTTAAGTTAAAATAAGACAAACAATTTTGAGTAAAACCTTAACTTAAGACTGAGAATGCTTTGTGAACTTGGGGCCTTGTTTTCTTTTCATTACTTATTATTTACAATACAGTAATAACAAGAAATAAAAAATCTGTAGAACACTGCTGATTAAGTTCTAGATTTAATCCTAGATTCAATCACATTTATATTTTTATACTTCCAATATCGATATTAATTCCAATAGAGCCAGGTGATGTTTAGTTTAATTATACACTTTCTATTTTGTTGTATGAAATTATCTGTATAATCTGTGTTTTTGTTACTTTCATTGTGTGAAATGCTTGCAGCAAAGTGCTGTAAATAAAATACCTGACATCACCGATCACAGTTTAACTCTATAACTTCTCATTTCACCTCAAATCTATGTGGAGTGGAGTCAGTTGGAAGAAATAAATCAAAATGGAGTGAAATCTACATTTTAATCAAATTCGTACCACATGATTATATTCTACCACTTTTTGTTCGTTTATATGGCAACTATATATTATTGCTAAGCTATTTTTGAATTGTAAATTACATTTACAAGTATGTAAATATTGATTCTTTGAATTATATATTTTCAATCAAAATCTGAATATGCAATGTGCTATGTAGCCATATATGTGAAATAAACTATTATTATTGCTATTTACTTTCTCTGTAAATCTCTGTTAATCTGTCGACAACTTAAACAAATTTCGATTTGAGTGTCCTCAAGAAAACTATTACATACAGAAGCAAGTACACAGATTTCGTAATTTAAATGTTGACTTATTTGTGTTCATGAAAAGATCAACCTGTCTGATATATCTTACAGTTGTAGGCTGACATTGAGAATAAGACTGTAAATGTTTTGATGTTATGCCCCTACATATCTTCATATTCTCAACAGTTCTTATAAGTAAATCTATAGATGTAACTTTAATTTGAACAGGAAACAAAAATTCACAATTCAAGTCCTTGTCTATGGTTAAATGGTATGTTACACTTTTATCTTCAGTTTTAAACAGATAGATATAATCACTTGAAGACTGACATAGCCACAAAGCAGGCATTTGACATAAAAATGATTTCTGCAACATCTGAAAGGTTACTTCGTTCATATGTAAACATTGAGTTTCCTCGGTTTTCCTTGGACTCTGAATAAAATAGACAAATTCATAAAACTCAATTAAAACAAGAAGAATTGGATTCTCATACATGTATTCATAATTTTCTCGGTTTCTGAATAAAATCGAAAAAATTACAAAAGTAAATATAAAGAAGAATCGGATATTCATACAAGTATTTATAAATAAAATTATGGGAGATTACAGAAAGAGCTAGCAGTTCTCATCATAATAGTTAAAAACTAGATAATGTAAAGGGAATTTGCTGAAAATTTCAGTCAAATTGATCCACCCTGAACCGAGTATTTAGTGGTTGAATTTTGGGCCTAGCCTCGATCATCATTACTAAGGTCGGTACGATAAAAAAAAAACATGGTCTCGATTATCCATTTTTTGATTTAATCAGAAGTAGCAGACTGGGCTCTTATCCAGTATATATCACAGGCTAGCGATGCCATCGAGCGTTGATTATGGTCTGGATAAGTTAATTAATGTCTAATTAATAATTTAGATAACATTCCAGGCCTAAAGAAAGACCTGCAATTGACAGATTTAGCTCTTGCATAATGTCTGTTTAATATTGATGAATTAAATGTTCATATACTGATCTTTTATAAGGAAACATCGAATGTTCATAATTATAATTAAGTTAACAGAAATTTAAGTTACCGGTGACTTCCTTGGATTCAATTTCTTTGTTGTTAGGCTTTTCTGTAGAAGAATTAAGGTTGATAGTCTCCCTAACCCTTCTTTTAATCTTCGATATGTGGACCCAGAATTTTTGTAAACATCTGAAATATTCATAAAATCAAAATAAAAAGGTTCCTACATACAAAACAAAAGGTTCAGATATCATTTTTTTTTTCCATGCTTGTTGATTATTCATACCGGGAACAAGATTATTTCGGAATTTAAAAATAAAAGGATTTGACAGGTCAAGGTCAGTCATAAATAAATATACAATTTTAATTTTTATGGAGCTGCTCAGTTAAAACTTTGACGTTTAAAAAAAAAAAATAATTAGTAATTCATAAAATTAAAGTAAAAGAAGATTGTTGAGAGAGAATCGTCATGCTGTCACACTCATCGGATGTAGTAATCGTCAATTTCATAACAAATTGAAAGTAGACTAGGCCTAGCTACGGCACTAATGTAAACAAACCTATATGCATACAACTTTGATGAGAGAAGGGGTAAAATCTAACGGGCAAACATGGAAATACAGACATTCAGCTAGTATGGGTTTAACTTAACTTCATTGTTTCATTGTAGGTTGTCAGGGTGGACTGCCAACTAGAATCTACATAATTAATTTCTTTTGAGTTTTCACTTACTTTTTCAACGAAATAATCCGGCTCAACGTGTCTTGAACATATTGTCAAGGTCTTGTCATTTATCGGGTCTGATCTGGTAGACTGTATGATACGTAATGATTCTCTCTCCACTCTGTTGTTTTTGGGTAAGCGATGGAATGATCAACCCCGATTTCTTTTATTGCAGGCGGAACATCCGAACAAAACACAATTCGCGCCAGGCATTTTGTTAGTGCGAGCAAAAACCGGAAGTACGCTGTGCCCGATATCAGCGTCAGAAGCCCGCCGTCACATAAGGTAGTGACGTCACACGGTGGGCGTTCCCGTTAGTATTCTAGTTCTATGATTAAAGGAGCTAAGTCTCTAACTCAATATTATCCAAAATATTCAACATTGAAAACACGATTTATTTGTTAAATTAAATCAACATTCATGTTGTGATCTTACCGGAAAAAGATGGGCTTTTGATATCCAATATTTAAGACAAAATAAACATTTTACCATTAGTACACGAATCGTGTACCATAATGCGCTTCAGCCCCAGATGTATCAAGAGACTCGAGGGAAGAGGCTAGACACATTGCACCAAATCAAACGGCTAATGTAGACTGGAATAACCAGACGCTAGAAATTTGCACTCGCTTGAGACTGCTGGCTTATTTCGCCAAACATAACTGATTTGAAATTGGAGTAAAAACGGAAACCATTGAATGTAAATCAGTTTATATACATTCATATTACAGTATTATATGCGTTGCGACCAACTTTTGTCAATTTCTAGGTCCCAAATGTTAGCGATTTAGCTCCTTTAAGTCTGATGTAATCTTACATAAGCCTTGTATTCATATGCTCTTATATCGTTTTAATAGTAAGTTAACAATCCATGTGATTTAACAAATCCGACACTATTTTTTACTATACTTATAACTGTAAAGTGTGTTGTAGCCCAGTAGCTACTGTATTATTACTGCACTGTTATAATAAACTTTATTATTATATCATGGTGTACATACATCAATCTGAAATCTGTTCCTAAGCTGTAGGGTTACAGTATCTGGCGACAGTTGGTGGACTTCTACTGGTTATTTCTGACCCCACAAATTAAAGCTCAGTAAAATCAAACTTTCAAGATTTATTTCTGTTCTTCTTATTCTTAATAAAGGCAATGGTTCCCACAAGACTAATGATATGGCCAAACAAATAGAGCAGTTGGAGATTTCACGAAGACGAGCAGCCGAGGATGTTGATCAGAAAGAGGTGGAAGAAATGGTTGTCTACGAAAAACAAAAACCAGTATCGTTGCTGGGAAGGATTTTCAACAAAGTGACTCTGAGCGTATTTGAAGAAAGTAAATCCGATAGACGCAAACGATTAAGAAGAGAACTTAAAGAAAGTCGCGCACACGATAGGAGAATCGAGGACCTCAAAAAGTAAATATATGCCTCTACTTATAAAATCCCTTCTTAATCAATCAGATGTGTGCAGATAAAAAGTTCAATGTTACCCCCTGTTCGCACCCCATGATACAAGAATGGCTGCGCATTCACTTTCATTTGACCCCGATTATCTCGGAAAAAAACAACGGCGGACTGATTACCACTCGGCATCGTATTCTACGCAAAATGTTACTCTAGAAAAATTGGGTCTGGTTTTGTGACAATTTGATGGACACCACTCCGCACGGAGTCTCCAGACTTACAGGGATTCACCATGGTGTGTGCTATGGGGCAATCATGCCGGGAGAACTGCTCTACGGCCTACTCTAATCTCGAATTCCAACTGTCAATGATTCTTTTGCGCACACGCCAACATGCATCCCGGACTTTGTCCCATGCGGACGATTAGACACCGTTCGTGGTCGAGTCCTGCGTTCTATACCACTGACAATCCTGGGATCGAACCCCAGATCTATTAGTGAGTCTGGTCCTTACCCTCGTTACAACACCCATGGCCATTTGTAGAGTATTTGCTTAAAGGACACATATGTGATAGAATTATTAGTGGGCAGAAATTCGCCCATGTACCTGTTATCACCCGTCACTTCAATCAGTTATATAGAGGGATAACTCGTGTTTTCCTTTTGCGTTCGCCACTTCCGATTGCTGAAACATTGATTCCACAGCTATCGTAGCAATGACCTCTGTGATAAAATAATATTTGGAATGTGTTTAACCAGTTCTATCACATATATGATAATGACTGGCACCAATATTGTCCTTTAAACTATAGATCGTCTATTTTTAACCTCATCACTGCTATATTGTTTTGAGTCAAACTTCACCCAAATATATCATTCGTGTCGGAGGGTCATTAGATAAGGTGTCTAAAAAGTTTTTTTGAAAAACTCCTAGTCTTGTTTCAGAAGATTATTGTTATACATTTCAGACATGGTGTCAATCTACTTGGCCCTCACGGTATGTGATTATTATTTAAATCTTCTTTATATTTTAATCGACACAAAGCGTAGCCTTTTAATAGTAAGAACGTGTAGTACACAAAAGGCGTCAATGTGTTTGTGCTCAAAACCGCAACGTACTAAATTTATGAAATGAAGCCAGTTCTATGATAATGTTGGTTTTGATTGAGGAGTTTACAGACTAACACAGGGTATCTTGCTGTACGGGTGTGCGTTTGTTTTATTTGCAAAGGAAACATCTTGCTTGAACAGTATCCTAATAGTTATGTCGCAAAAAAGATAAACCTCTAATTACTACAGGTCGAATATACAGTGGTATGTTGGTGATTAAAAACTTACCCAGTTCTTAACAATAGTATTATGCCTTCTTTCTAACATGGGGCTTTTCATCGGCATGAAAAATGGAATGATACGTTCTACTGCTCTGCTCTGACCGGGAATATGAAGACGACAGTCCGGATAACACCTACTTGCACTGAGATTGATAGCGGACAGAAAGCTCTGTGGAAACGGGGTTTAATTTCAACCCCATTCCATTAAATTAAAGGCGCGTTTTAATGTTCTTTAGATCAATTGGGTTTCCGCACTGAGGGTACAGTTTATAATGTACGTGCCTGCAAGTCTCGTCATTTTGGGTCAACATTCATATTGCACTCTGTTCGCCATTTCAGGTGATGTCCGAATTGCCCTACTTGGTAAAACCGGTATAGGCAAAAGCCATTTGGGAAACAATCTGTTGAAAATGAAAATCTTCAAATCAAATGTAAGTTTTGCATCCGTCACAAAACAGTGCAAATTTGAGGAGAGGCAACTTGATAAAAATACCAGTCTTTTGGTTATTGACACACCTGGCTTGTTCGATACCAAGGAACCAAATGAGACAACTAGTAAAGAAATAGTACGAAGTATAGCACTTGCTGCCCCTGGTCCACATATCTATATATTTGTCATCGGGCTGGGAAGATTCACACCAGAAGAAGTCAATACTGTGAATATTCTCCAAGAAGTTTTTGGTGAACGAGTCCTAAAACATGTCATTGTTGTATTTACACGTAAGGACGATTTGGATGGGGCGCCACCGAATGAATTCATTGAAAATGCACCTTCTGAATTGCACGACCTAATAAAAAAATGTGGATATAGGTTCGCCTTCATCAATAACAAGGCAGATCCAGATACCTTACAAGAAGATGTTGACGTTATATTGGATTTGATCTTTAAAACTATTGGCGAAAATCAGGGAGCCTACTACACGAACGACATGTATGAGGAAGCTGAAAAAATTGTTGACGGAAAGAGAAAGGAAATACAAAATGAAAAGGAACGCCAACAAGAAAAACTTCTCCAAGAAAAGAATGAAATTCTTAATGCAGTGACAAAATCCTGTGGTGAGGAAATGGATAGACGATTAATTAAGGACACTCAAGACACAGAACAGAAACTGGAGAAGAAAAGGCGCGAGTTAGAAGAACTTGAAGAGCGTAGGCGCAATTTAGAAGAGAACACGAAAGAAGAAGTACGTCGACTCATGGCCTTTAACGAAGAACAAACACGAATTCGTGAACAAGAGGAAATAAGATTTCGAGAGATGCAAAAAGAAGATAGTAGGCTAAAAAAGCTAGAAGAGGAAAATAAACGTCTACAAGAAGAAGCGAGAAAAAGAAAACAGGAACTCGCAGAGGAAGAAGAACGGCGTAAGAAGCTAGAGGAAGAGTTGCAGAAAAAAGTTAAAGAGGACCAGAATTCGGCCTTTTCCAAAGGATTGAAAAAAATTGCTGATGTTGAAAACCGGATTTTGGAAAACACACAGATTAATTCCAACAGGCAGGCAAAGAAGCAGGTTGAATCCAATGACTCATTTCTTGGTAAAATAGGGTCCTCTATCCGTCAAGCTGGTGCAGGTGCTCTGGACTGGGTAAAGAGCTGGTGGAGCTAGAGTTTGATATTTGAAACGTTGAAAAGGGCATCCTGGGTTTGTTAGAACTAATTAGCTTAGAACTGCAATGCTAGAACTTTATAATCAGTTATTACAATAGCTCAACAATTATGATTTTGCCATGTTTAACATATTCGCACGTCCTCTTTCCCATTCAACCTGATACATTAATTAGTAAGTTCATTTATATAGCCAATATGTAGTTTATGCGGATTTAGTCGTCGCGCACGTCCGTCTTCAAGAATTGCTTTTTAACAGTTTCCGACAGAAAACGTTCTTTTTAACGGTATACAGGCTAGAGTTGTTGAAAGAATAATTTTGAAACATGCCATGATCATAAACTCCACGAGAAGATGATTCGCCTCAATTTCCAGTATTCGTTTGGAGTTACTGTCCTTGTCACCCAGACATCGCGATTGCTCTTAAAGCGATATTGGCTAGTGTTTCTGATGGACTTGTTTTTTTTTGTTGTGAAGCATTGGAATGAACCTAATGGGATTCCGTATTCCGTGACTTCTGGAGTTTCCTCAACTTTACTGAAAACATTGTTAATGTCATCGAACAGTTTTTAACATTTGGTGTGCTTCAAATTTGGTGTGTTTCAAATTTGGTGTGATGCATAGCACTCGGGGGGGGGGGGGGATTAACCATATCGAGATTCAATTTTGATTTGGGATCTAAGAGGATGAAGCTCGTATTGCATGACTTTGTCTTCCAGGGATATAGTATGTTTGCAAAATTCTTGTAAACGGAATAAAAATAGATATTTTGAATACGCTGTTGTCTATGGCTGTATGATATTTATGACTGCCGTGTTGGGGGGGGGGCGTATTTCCATGCTTGGCGTGACTATCTTTCTATCTTATGCAATTTTTCGTTTTAGAAAGATATAACATAGACAACAAGCAAAAGTAAAACAAAATTAGAAGACATACACAAACATGACGCATTTCCTACACAACATATAACATAAATTTAATTTTGATAATTATTTCGAAACATTAGAGCGTTTATAGAAGGTTGGTATATTGAGCTTATTCTGTACAATTTTTGTATTTTATTCCAAGTTTGGATTTAGGAACAGTACAAACTAATTTAACTGATTTCTATTTGATGAAGGTAAAGTTCTAGCTGGAAAATATTGTGATAATGAATCGGTCAAATAAGCTTGGACAGAATGTTCGTTGATATCGGTTTTTATCTTAAAAGTGATCTTGTGTTTATTAGGTAGCCAATCTAGATCTTTTAAAACAAGTGTAATATTTTCCAATAGTTTAGTACTGGTCACAATTCTGGCATCTTTATTCTGAATTGTTTGTAGTTGATCTAGTAGGTATTTTGGCAGATAGTATAATAAAGAGTAACAGTAATCAAAAGATGACATAACAAAAGAATTAATCAGTAATTCTGTGATCTATAAATGGTCGAATCTTTCCAATTTTCCACAGAAGGAAGTTTGCTCTTTTTGCTAATGCTGGACACTTGTATATTCGTATATGTCAATGTTTCTAACACAACAGTTGGTGGTATATTTATGTTTCTAATGGGTATATGATTTAAATTAATGTTGTTCGTGTAGCCAATTCTTGTGCTGTTATCGCTTTCTTATTTAAAGGATTTGTGTGATTAGCTCAAGTTAATATAGAAATTCTTTGATTTAAAATAATATAAACATTCTGTTAAAATGGCGTTTAAGTGAATAAAATGAACTTTAACGTCCTACTTTTCTGGACCAACTAAGTCAATGAAGACGGCGGATTCAGAAGGACTCGCACAAACCTGTCGAAGTAATACCTACAATTTATCTATATATCTAAGTTTATTCAAATTTCATGACCAAACACCTAAAATGAAATATCTTGTACATGATATAATACCCTGTGATTGGCATCGCAGATTTTAACTATAACAAAATGGCTAACCCCACATACTTTCCGGGGAAGTAGTCTTGTCAATCATGGTTTGCTTTTCAATTAAATGTATTTCTTAAACAAGAATATTTTGTTTAATATCCTTTGTTCCAGACCTGATAAATATTTTGAATTTAAACAAGCCAACAGTGAGGCTGATGTCCCTCGCCGAAATCCCAAATTAATCGATGACACTTTTTAATTTATTAAGCATCAAGCAATCAAACTGATTATCAACTATACACTCTCCACCACTCTCTATCAGATAAAATCAAAGTTGTCTTGTCCTAAAGCACTGACCAACGAAATTCTTAGCTCAGTCAAGACTTTACCTAATGAACATCTACATCAAGTTTATACATTCTACCTAAATTAAAAGCAGAATTGTTATGTTCCAAAGTCTTGACCAATCAAATTGCTTATCTCTCCTTAGCATAAGCAGAAAATTCTCATCATCGAACTTAGTCATGGTAATGCTATAATGAATCTATACTCAGAGTTTCATCACTTTCACTTAATTATAACCAAAGTTATCGTGCCCCAAATCATCAACCAATCAGATTGCTTATCTCTGCTTACTGTGAGCAGAAAATGTTTATCATCGAACTAGATCAAGGCATTCACCTTATGAACACTAAGTTTGAATATTCTTCTACCTCAATTAGAAGAAGAGTTACTGTGTTCCAAAGTCTCGGCCAATCAAATTGCTTATCGCTCTGCTTACCCTGAGCAGAAAGTGCTCCGTATCGAACTTAATCAAGGTATTGATGTGATAAAACTGTACACCAAGTGTCCTCACTCTCACTAAATTATAACTACAGTTATCGTGTCCCAAAGCATCAACCAATCAAATTGTTCACCTCTGCTTACCCTATAAGCAAAAAATTCTCATCTTCAAGGCATCATCGAACTTAGTCATGGTAATGATATAATGAATCTATACTCGAGTTTCATCACTCTCACTTAATTATAACCACAAAGTTATCATGCCCCAAAGCATCAAGCAATCAGATTGCTTATCTCTGCTTACTGTGAGCAGACACTGTTTATCATCGAACTAGATGAAGGCAAGTGTGAACATTCTAGCTCAATTAGAATGAGAGTTATTGTGTTCCCAAGTCTCAACCAATCAAATTGCTTATCACTCTGCTTACCCTGAGCTCATTATCGAACTTAGTCAAGATATTGATGTAAAAAACTATATACCAAATTTCATCACTCTCAGTTAGAATTAAAGCTATCGTGTCCCAAAGCATCAACCAATCAAATTGCTTATATCTGCTTACCCTGTGTAGAAAAATCTCATCTTCGAACACCACCAAGGCATTGACTTAATAAACACCTACATCAAGTTTGAACATTCTACCTCAATTAGAAGGAGAGTTATAAACACCTAGCTTACCCCGAGTAGAAAATGTTCATTATCGAACTTGTCAAGGTATTGATGAAATGAAACTATACACCAAGTTCCATCACTCTCACTTAATTAGAACTAAAATTATCGTATTCCAAAGCATCAACGAATCCCATTGCTTATCTCTGCTTACCCTAAGCAGGAAATGCTCATCTTGGAACTCCATCAAGGCACTGACCCAATAAACACCTACACCAAGTTTGAACATTTTTTAAGAGTAGGGAAAACAGTTTAGATCGATTAATCGAGTCAAATGCCCTGGAAAAATCGACCGTGTATGGAAGCGCCCCCTGGGTTTGGACATATATTTCTGTGCGAGTCCAAACAATGTGAAGATATGGTCCCCAGTTGAATAATCGTTTCTGTAGCCAGCTTGGGCCTCTTTGTATTTGTTTTCCGATTCACGCCATTTTTGAAGCCTGCTATTAAGAACAGCGCTATACAATTTACCGATACAATCAAGCAGTGAGATTCCTCTAATTGTTTGTATCGCTTGTTGAACCTTTTTTATGTAGTGGTGCGATAAGTGCCTTAGACCACGAGTCGGGAAAACATCCCTCATCAAAGACCTTATTGAATAATAAAGTAAAAGCCGCAATGAGGATATCAATGCCAACTTTGTAAAAATCAATACCGATTCCATCCGGACCGGGCGAGGTTCCTGGCTTCATGTTCTTGGCACATTGCTTGACTTCTAACTCAGAAATTGGTTTAAGAATGCAGTTATCTACTACATTTGTTTGAGTTTCAGAATTACGTCAGAGATCTGTGATTTGGGTCGGAAAAACTTTTCCAGAATTCATCTGCGTCATGAAGATTTCTTTGAAGCGGGTCACAAATTGTGTGTTCATACTCTATTTCTTACTTCTACAAAGATTTTTGAACTCATTTTTACATGTATTGTAAGCACTTAAGTGTGATGTACAGTTGCATTTTCTGAATTTATTTAATAAATCAAACCGATGTTTCTTACTAGTTTCACAGCTTTCATCAAATCAAGGTGGTTGTTTGAGACGTGATAGTCATGCATGACCCACAACGTTTGATAAAGTCTGTAATTTATCATATCAAAATGACACATTGCCGCGAGAGTGGGTTTAGAAGATAGAAAAAGGGCGAAACTACATGAGTTGACTCTGAACCAAGAACCGTTACAATATATACGTGATTTGTTAGAAATTAAATCGCCGAGTTTTAGCCAAAATTTTAATCTAGTTCGTAACTACTTATCTTTAAAAGTCCAACGAGTAAAGAAGAATTTTTTTACATGGCTTCATTGATAAATAAGTGAATGAATATTGTCACGTGAATGTCTATTTTGGGCGACTGTTTGCTGTCTACAGTGCACGAGCGAGCCCGTTGAAGCACGTTTTTCATAAACGCTGTTTTGATCCGCGTGACAACATGCTGCTAAAACAGGTCAGTTTATATAGTACAAATAATTGAGGCTGTGGGCCATTCTACCTATGACAGTCTCAAATACATAAAACACCTTTGCCGGAGGACCGATAGCTTTTGAGGCCCTGGACTTGAGCCTGTCAAGCCTATAGGTAAATCCGGCATTGGGTACTTAACAATCGAAACCATTTACGCTAAATCATGTCAAACTTCACACATTCATAACTTCGTTCAGAATAAAGTAATTTGGTTGCAATTTCGCCTTTCCTTTTTAATTACAGTATTAACTATTATATCAAGAACGGCCAGCTCTTTTTATAAATCTTCCATAAATGCATCCTTAATGAGAACTGTCCTAATCACTGGTTTTTAGTGTAAAATTTGATTTGTTGTCAAGTTCTGTCTTGTAGTTTCACATTGAAGTTTTCCGGGTAGTTTGTCTAAGTAAAAATATTTCCCCAGCTGTCTCTCTACTGCACCTTTTTTTTGCCTTCTGCCGTGCACGAAGGCTACACACTTTTTTACCACTACATTCTAAAATGGAAAATGAAATGAATGCATTGAACGGATATTAAAGAGTATATGATCCTGAGATAACACAATTCTGTAACTGCACTTAGAGCACAGAGGCTATCATTAAGGCTTATTGATACTAGTAGTCAACACAGGCTCTTCGGAGACTGGCGCTCTTTTTCCTGTACGGATATTTCACAATCAGAAGCAATATTAAAAATGGGGATTACTGCACAACTTCATGATTGAGATGTAAAAGCAACATATAAACATTTCCAATAATTTTGGGAGAAATTCCAAGTATGATTTATCTCCTCTGGACATTAAAGATTATATGGTTCCCAGATATCTGTAAGAACTTGAGTTAACTGCCCTTAGACCACGTTTACTTGTAGAGGGTATAGGCTCTTCAGAGATGGGGGGACTGGTTCGCCAGAGACTGCAGTTCTAGTTCCTGTAATGACATTTCACAATTAGAAAGGAAATGAAATGGGGTTTAAACATCCATGTTAGTGTGCTATAAGGGAAATTTTGCCAGGACAGCTGAGCCTTGACCTACTCTTATTTCAATTTCCAACTCGCAAGAGCTCTTTAATGTGCTGCCAATTATTTTTGTACTACCGAAAAGTTTAGACGCCTTTCCTTGCTAGTTTTCAGGGGGTTTGGCTCCACATCCCTTTGAAAACTTTCTTAGCTTCTGAGTTTTGTCACTGTCTAATTCTGGAAAAAATGTAATATAATTATTCGGATCTATGTTGCATTTTCCCCTCGAATGAATTAATAAGTCGATTTTCTTCGTATGTGATTTTCCCACTATTTCTATACGACTTAACCAGTCTACTCATTTCTTCTCAAAAGGTGACAAAGACACAAAAACATCTTATTAAACTTCACCACCTATCTTCATGCCTTTGAAATACTGATTCACTTCAATGCGTTCACATTCACCACCTCTTTGTTGATTAAATAAAATGATCTGAGCTAATACATTCGGCAATTTCTCTATGTGATGTGGAATTAGGCATCTTTGTCAATTCTTCATCCTTTTCATCTAAATATGAATTTAAATCTTTACTGTCTGGTGTAAGTGGTAATCTCATTGGGTTGTTAAACTGTCTCTTGTGTATAGTGTTTAAAGCTTTGTTGCTTATGGACACTTTCCATTCTAGTTCCATCAATGAACAGAAATTTAGAGTTGGCAAGGTTTTGATCATCATCAGAAACTATGATGAAAATAAAACTCTTATGGAACACCTTCCTGTGGTGGGTGAGAGATGACCTGTGGCTGGGCTGGTGAGAGGTGGCCTGTGATGACTTGTGGCTGGTGAAAGGTGGTCTGTGGCTGGATAGAGATGTCTTGTGGCTGGTCCGAGATGACTTGTGGTTTGTCAGAGGTTGGTCTGTGATGACTTGAGGCTGGAAAAGGGCAGCCTGGTGCTGGTCAGAGATGACTTGTGGCCGATTACATAATTCCAGTGCTTTCTGTAGATCATTTTCAAACTCATGTATTAGCTTTGGTCTCTTTTTCAGCTTTTCTATTCATAATATTAAGATACTGTCAGAAAATATTACGAAAAGATACTTTAAGAAAATATTGCGATAATCAAACAAAATATCAGAATTCATAATTAGTTAAAACAAATGCTGTTAATACTATTAAACATACGTAACAAGAAATCTGATTAAAACATGGATTCTATTTCGTTTCAAATATAATTTTAACATACAAATCTCTACTACGGTTGATCCATAACAAAGATTG